GGGGGGGGGGGGGGGGGGGGGCGCAGGAAGCGCAGGGAGCTAGCCAAACCGTATTTAAAAAAAAAACACAGCTATCGCCGCCTATCGGTAATTAATGAGCCGATTTTCTTATGGAAAAAAAAAGAAGCTATCTCAGTATATGGGACACTAAGAGTTCAGTTCAGCAGGCGTCTCTCAGACATTTCCCCCCCCCCCCCGGATATCCTCCAGATTCATTCTGTATATGGGACGCTGGACCCGTTTTCCAGCAGGTGATGCTCCCCACCAATAGATGGAGCCTCTCCCCAGGTGCTAGCGGTGTCTGCTCTTACCGGCATCACTAGCACTGGAGGGGGGCGGTTAAAAAAAAAAAAAAAAAAACGGACACTGAAGAACTCAGTCGAGGGGGAAGTACTACTACCGTCGTCACTCGAACATAAGGCTTCGAGCCTTGTTTTCGAGTTCGAAGACGAAAAAAAAAGAGGAAAAAAAAGGGGATTTTGTTCCATTTTCTTAAATTTAAAATAGAACAGCAGTTCAAATGCACTCCCTAAGGGGGGTTGTTTTCAAATAGAACACTCGGGCGTTCTATTTGACCTCAGCTGTCGCGCGCACCAGGAAAAAGAAACCGCTTAATATTTGAAGTTATCTCGAAATTCGAATACTACCATGCCGAAAAATGTACAATTCAATTTGTTAATTTTGTTTTCTTTTTCCTTTCCTTCCAGCTGAGTGAGGTGCCCAAAGTGTGATTGCAAACTGAATCTTGCCCCATACTGCAATCATAACTAGTTTTTGCGACTCTACTGCACGGGAGTCACAAAAACGAGTTATGACTGCAGTATGGGCCAAGATACAGTTTTTTTTATTTTATTTTTATTTTTATGTAGTAATCTATATTCTTCTCTCAATCTTCGTTTGCATATATTCTATCTCATCCTCTCGCTACTCTATGTATAGCACGGGGGGGACCACCACCCAACCAAACCTGGAACTCTCCCCAGCCCACGGGGTAGGTTTGCACCACAGGAGTCACAGTGGTGCGAGAGCAAGGCTTGTATCAGCCCCTCATCACGATGATGCAGGGTGATCAGGCATTGCCGACGGCGGAAACCGACGATGCTAGTGCCGAGCATCTTTGGCAAGTCACTTCCACCTCCCCCTACCCCCCTCCAACCCCACATTAGCGGTGTCTAATGGCGAATATCATTGCTGCATAGCAGCCAACAATATTTGGCCAAGGTCCTGCCAATGCTGGCTTGGAGAGCCACGGGGTTATCTCTAGCTGGTAGAACACCAACCAAGCTTGCCCAGGCACATACGTGAGGCCAATGGGGCTTGAACCCACGACCTCCTGAATGCAACTTCTGTGCCTTACCAACTGAGCTAAGCCCGCAGATACGGTTTCCAATTGCAGTTCGGGCAATGCATACAACCCAGCTTTCTGGCCAGGTGTAGGGTGCCCCAAGTGTGATTGCAAACTGTATCTTGTCCGATACTGCAATCATAACTCGTTTTTGTGACTCTGCTGAAGTTTCCCCTTCTTGTCGTCTACTGGTGGATAGCAGGCAACCAGACCCCAGAGTCTCATATACCCAATACTAATTTTTAGGGAGCTAAAAAAAGGATCCTACCCCCCCTTGAACCCCTCTACCCTGGAGCACCAAATGATCCTAACCCCCGTCTACTGGGATGGCCTTAAGGGTGCAACCCTAACTTCAAATGAGTCGGGCGGAGGGGAGGGGTGGCGGTGCTACTAGACCTGCTGGCGTCATTGAAAGGAAAATAGCAGACGGCAGTATGGCGGTGCTACTAGACCTGCTGGCGTCATTGAAAGGAAAATAGCAGACGGCAGTAAGGTGCAGCCGCACTGCTACCATCTTCCCCCGAACATAACGCACCCTAAAATTGAATGTATACAAGCCATATTTCCGGCCAGATGCAGCCAAAATAAGGGTGCGTTGTGTTCGGGGGAAGATGGTAGTTCTGCCGCTCATTTTTAATTCAGTTCCAGAAACGAAGGGTCAACCGAGTTGACCTGTGAAAAATACAGCTAGCTTGCGGCTTGCGGGCGTACTCGTGCTATCCCTTATCTTATGTATGGATATCTGGTATCTGACCACATTCATGGCCGGATGTGGATGAATCTGATCGCAAGTACGTCCTCCGTCAGTAAACGATACCCTGTAGTGCGAGTATGCCCTGAGATGCTCGAGTCATCAGGCTGCCTCCCAGGGTGCCTTGATGACATCGGCTCCATCCTTTCCGCAGATCTCTCCGTCCTGACATCCGGTCAGTTTCCATGCCGTTCGCAGCCTTTTAATCTCATGGCTGAATGTGCTGTGCGGCGTCCACAAGTATGTGCTTCCCATTGCACAGATGACTCGGTCCAGCATAGCAAGGGTTTGCCCCCGTTGTTTTTCGTCGTACTGCTCTCGTGTCAGCTCGTTCGTCCACAAACCCTCCTTCTGCGGGGGCACCTCCGGGGGCATCCGCACAACAATCATCGGCCTATTCCCGGTCTCCAATCGCCTTTGGAAGAGGGCGAACTCGTAATCCATAGCGTCGGTGGCCACGAAGATGATGTCGGTGTCGGTGGCGATCGCCTTTCGGCGAACGCACTGCGCAGCCTGTCTTATGGAATAGAAACACAGTCGGTCGTCGCGACAGTATGTGGCGAAGTCGGATCGCCGCCAGTGGATGCTCAGGTACTTAGGTCCAAGATAGGTACGCACAAAGGCGAGTGCAGCCTTCAAGATGTGCGGTTCCGGTCTCAGAATGGGCCCAGTGCAGTTGGTAACCCATGGTTCTCTGCCGTTGAATGAATTCCAGTAGTTGATGCCAAAGTCCATTATAAACCCCTCGCCAAAGCTTATGATCTCGTCGGTGTAGTTAAACTGTTTAAGGAAGTTGGTCATGTTGCCACTTTCACTCAGGGGGGTGGCGGGCTCGTCACGCAGGAAATGAACGCCTGACTTTTGAGTAAACCCACCAAGCACCCAGCTTGAGTTAGGCGGCCCGTAGTTGGAGAATGCCTTCAACATGGTCACGTTCGCATCGCCGTTCCGCTTCTTCTTTAGGTCCTCAAGACTGATGACCGAGTTCGGTCCCAGGCAGTGGTTGATGTGAGGAATGTCGAAAAGTAGGGTGTAGTCATAATCTACCTCCTTGGTGGGAAAGACCAGAGTCCGATTCATCAAAGCAGCGGCGACCAGCTGGATGGTTATACACCAAAGTCTATTACAAAGCCGTCCGTAGGCGCAGACCATCATCAGATAGCGATCGGGTTGCGGTGACCATTGGAGTTGTCGCTCGTTCCACTGGTCGGGGCACTGCAAGGCAGGAGGGGGATCCTTTGCTTCCACACCACCCCCCTCCTCGACGTCATCCGCATCCGCTGCCTCCACCACCCTCCTCCCTCCCCTCCTCTTTGAACCCACCACCCCTCTAGTAACTTCCTTGCCCTCGTCACTTCCATCCTTTTGCTCTCTCTCCTCCAGAGTTCTACGATCTCTCCTCTCCTCCCCCTCCCCCTCCCCCTCCCCATTCTTATCCCTCCTGCTCTCAGAAACTGTTGTATTGCCCCTTTTCTCCACTGAGTCACCCAGGGCCTGCTCTCCCCCCCCAAGAATGGTTGTTCGGGGGGTGAGTTTGCTTGATGAATCGTTGTTCGGCAAGGGTCGTTTGTAACTTGCAAGGGAGTTTAACCAACTGGAGGTGCTTCCTTCATCATCCTGGCCAATGGCAAGAGAGGTTCGGTGCGTCAACTCTGTGAAAACGAAAAAGCTAATGAAAACGCACAGAGCAATCCACCAAAACGCAAACTGGCAATTGTCTCCTGACCCCTTTCGTATACCACGGCCTCCACTGCTCTGCATTACCCGTCCAGAAGTCGGCCCCATATTCGTTCCCGCTATCGGCGGCATGGCTACTGAAAAATTACAGCTTAGCAACTACTGTCGTCTCTCAATTGTTCCTTCTGCGCAATCAACCAGATAGCTTTAGCATCAAAGCATAACCATATCCCAGCTCACCCACTACCTCACTCTTATCAACCTTCTCTCTCTCTCTCTCTCTCTCTCTCTCTCTCTCTCTCTCTCTCTCTCTCTCTCTCTCTCTCTCTCTCTCTCT